ATTACCTCTGGAATAACAAAAAAAAAAAAACTTGGAGGCAATGAGATGTAAAATAACAAAAACTTGGAGGCAATGAAAAAAAGGGGGTCTAATTCCTCGACAATAGCATAATGTGATTCTAAAATAACAAAAAAAAACTTACATATAACGTGGAGATGTAAGCTCAAAAGATTACCTCTGGAAGATATATACGAAGATGGTTGAGCAATGAAATATACTTTGGACTCCTAGCCTGCAACTTGGAGGCAAATGTTTGTGGGGTTGTATCACTTAGATTGGCTCCAGCAATGTGATTCCCATGGTAATAATTCCTAATCCCATTGTGGCTCTCCACAGCTTCAAGGACCGGGACATTCTCTCTTGTTAACCAATCAAATTGATGTACACCTTTCACTTCGACTATAGCAGGAGGCACAGGATGTAGGGCGAACCACGAATGCATGCCTGCGTAAGTTTTCTTATCAGTTATAACATGAAAAACAATCTTTTCGGGGGCTTCGGATGACTGAACAGCAGACGTCACAACAACTGAAGCTGCAAGAATGTTGTCTGTTGACACCACAAAGTGATGGTAGGAGTTGTCAGAAAGCAGAGGAAGCAACTCTGGAGAAGGAAGCTGCTTGCGTGCATGGGCATTAGAAGAATATTCATCAGTTAGCCTCAATGAGAGACAGTGAATGCCCTTAGGAATGGCACTAGCTGCAAAGTGTTTATTCATTAGCTCAGAGAATTTGGACTCTCTCATCTCCCTTTCCGATCTCTCCATCTGTTGCAGAAAGAAAAAATAAAACAGAAATTACAAATTGATTATGTGGTTCAAGATTGATTAATATTTGAAAGAGAGACAACATTCACACTATTAAATAATTGGACGGTATTGCTCAATTAGGAAACCGCAGAAAGTAAAAAAGTAAATGGTCATATTTAGAATGTAATCATCCCAGTACGAAAGCATACTAATTATATAAAACATCATGTTTTGTGACATACCAAAAACGGTTGTTGTTGGGTGGACCGGGAAAAGAAATATTCCAGTCTCATTTATTCAAATTTTTTGGCAAAAAACATATGCATGGAAACTCAAAAGTCACAAGCAAGAATTCGATGATTAATATCTGGTTAGCAACTAGAGACTACTAAGACATCAAAAGGGAAATGAA